ACACACACACACACACACATATATATACATCGATCCAATTGTCCATCCTCTTTCTCCCAACACTAATTCTTCTTCACCCCCGGCGTCCATTCTCCACCCGATCGAACGGTGATAATCGATAATCAATACGACGAACGATATTGATCCGAGAAAGGGAGACGAGCTCGATTCGACGAGTGTGATGATATTCGTTGGTCACCCTCGATCGAAGCGGATCGAGAGGATCGAGTAGGGCACGCCTCGCGAGCGGCCAAGGCCGGGGCGAAAAAAGGAACGTTTTCCGTTTTCAAGATCGTTGATGGTTGAAAAACCCGGTTCTCTAGCGCGCGTTCTGGGAAGGATCGGGGTCGCGGGACCGTCGGTACGAGCGTGTACGCGCGAGAAGACGCGAGGCGGGGCGAATGGAGCGGCGCGATGGGCGATCCGATCCGATCCGAAGGCGAGGCCAGGCGAGACAAGGCGAGGGCCGAGGATGAGCCGAGGCGTCGTGCGCTTAACCGCCCTATAAGGCAGTTCTTCTCTCTTCGCTGCCTCTCTAGTCACCGTTGTCTCCGGGAGTATATGCCCGGCCGTGTTCCTTCCCGAGGTGTTCTTCCCGCGCCACGTGATCGTCCTTCCCATTCCCCTTCCTCCTCCTCCTCCTTCTCCATCACGTCGATCAAAATTGAAAACTCTCTCCATTCTTCTTCTTCTTCTTCTTCTTCTTCTTCTTCTCGCGAGAAAATTCTCTTTTGATCTCTCGGTCTCGTTGATCCCTGAAACGCGTTAGGGAAGGGAGAGAGAGGAAGAGTTTGATCGCATGTGAGCCGCATTTTCGGCCGGCTCGAAACAACGGACGTTGGTTTGCCATTGTTTTCTTCCCTCGATTCGTAGCGACGAATCCTCTTTATTTGCAACCCGCATATCGATGAATCGGAGGGAGAAAGAAAAAGAGAGAGGAGAGGGATAGTAGTCGCGTCACGACTCGTTCGATGGTCGTTTAGACGGTGTCACGTATTTGCGTACGCTAATTACTTCTCGGTAACGAACCACTTTTTTCCCCCAAACTGCCTCGCGTGATTACGGTTTCACGGAACCGTGGCCAGTCCATTAGAATCGTTTGATTCTCCTCGAGAAGCGAAGGGGAGTGCAATCGTGTTAGCAGTCGATCGCCTCGTCCAGACTGTCTTCAGGTATCTGAAACTCGCGCGCGCGCTCGACTGGCAACCGAGGAATTTCTTTCCTCTTTTTTTTCTTCTCTCTCTCTCTCTTTTCTCTTTTTCCCCATTGTTGCCGCGAGAAAAATCGTACGGCAAGGTGTATTGTATTCCATTGCTTCGCTTTTTTTATCGATTCTCCTCGAACGATAATATTTCCCTTCGTTTTTCGACCGATCGAAAAGGTCAGGTTAATCGCGCTCGTTTGAAAAACCTTTCTCCGTGACGTAACGCACGATCCTTTCGATCGTTTTCCTTTTTTTTTTTCTTTTGGATCGCACCATCCGTTCCCGAATTACGATTCAACGAGTCGCGCACGAATCGTTTAATTCGTATGATTCGAAGTTGAACGGCAGCTAACGAAAGATAACGCACAGAGTCGTCGATTCATATCTATTGAATCGGGCGCGATGATTTCAAACGAATTCGAATCCTTTACAAAAGGATTTAAACCTTGTTGGCCGTGATTCGTTGATCCGTGGAGAATCGTAGTCGTACTCGAAATTGTCGCTGCGGGCGGTTTTAACTGAACAAACGAAAAATGGGCGCGTATCGGAGAGATTCGATCGAAATCTGTTTACACCGTTTAATACGATCGATCGAATCGAGGAACTTCGCGTTCTCAATTCGATTTCCGGTTAAATCGACTCCCTCGAGGAGATGCATTTCGATATTTTTCTTTCTCTCGAGAGAAATCGTCCCACCAACATTCCCTCTCGGACGACAGGATCCAAGATTCGCGATCGATTCGCAAGAACTCACTGTTATTCGTGATCGTGATCG